ATCGGGGGGGGGCGGGGCTTTAACGGGGCATTAGCTTTACCCCTCCGCGATCTCACCTGTCTTGTAGTCGTCAAGACCCGTTTCCAGCTGCAGGTCGGAAATTCCGAGTACTCGTCCATTCTTGATTGCTTTAAGAAAATTATGGCGGGCGAAGGGTGAGCTTTTTTACGTGCGCGTGTGGAGAGGAGACGAAAGGGGTATGTCTTCAGCAAACCGCTGTCATCCGTGATGCTGACGATCAATGTGTTTTCTACGACGTCGACTGTATAGCCCCCGCGCTCTCTACCGAGGTGAGCTTTCCTATTATTTTTCTTCGACCACGTGCGCTTAGGCAGTTTGATGGCAACAGCTAAACCATTTTCCCCATCCTGCCTTCAGGAATTCCCGCACCAATCTTGGTTGAGGCACCTAAGCGCGCAATCAAGTTCGGCGCGAACGATGCGGTAAGGGCTATATTCTAGGGGGAGGGGTGAGGGGGGGGGGTGGGGCGAGGGGAAGATATCGACTCGTTCCAAAATCACTGTATGGGATTTCGCTAGTCCTTCCTGTCGTTGACACCTCCCCCCGCGTCTCAGTTCGGACATTACTATAAGGACAAGTTTGGGTTCAAGGATGGCAAGGCCCTCGCGGTCCTCACCGGAGTCAGCGCGGGAATCGCCGAAGCCATCCTCGTGAATCCGTTCGAGCTCGTGAAGATCAGGTTTGACGATCCTCCTCTACCTCAACTCTCGTTTGCCTTTTTGACACCCATTTGGAAATCCGGCTTCTCCTCATTTTTATTGACGCTTTTCCTCTCATATCGTCTCGTGGCTGCGTAGGATGCAGGATAAGGGGAACGTGAGTATACTTTGAGCCGTAGGGGGGTGGGATCAACGAACATGGAGATATTCTCTTCGTGGTGGATGATCGCCGACTCCTCCGCCTTCCTGATTCCTGAGAAACTTCGATATTTTTCACGCGTTTTTAGGCCGGAGTATACAACGGTACGGGGGATTGCGTTAAGAAAATCTTCGCCTCAGATGGTATGTACGCGCGTGGGGGCACACAGTCTAGGACGTAGGTTATTGCTTCGACGAACGGTGTCCGATCCGATGAGCTTAAACGACCGATGAGTAAGGTGCTTAAGTACTCACGCTAAGCACTCCCACGTCCCTCATTTCAGGCGCCCTTGGATTCACCCGTGGGCTCGAGGCAACGATGTTCCGCCACGCCGTATGGAACGGAGGATACTTTGGCGTTATCTCGTGCGTTTCATTAATTTGCGTGGTCGATCCTTTTGGTCCTCTCCATTGCTGGTCGTCGTACTTCTGCCCCTCGCTTGGGTCCTTCCCTACTGACTTGCTCCTTTTTCTTCTCATGCAGCGGCATTCGCTCTACTCTCCCCGAGGCGGAAACAAAGCAGGGGACGCTTGCGAGGAACTTTGTTGCCGGTACTCTCGGTGGGACTTTTGCCACGATGTTGAATGTAGGTAGCAGTTATGTCGCTATTGGAGCGGCGGATGGGGTGGGGGCCGGTGCGGCGTATGCCGGCACTTCCGATGGGTCAGGAGCCGCACCTCGCGATATCGTCTTTTCATCTTCGTCGCCACGCGCATTTTTCAACTTTCTGCCGATCCTTTTCTTTAGACTCCCTTCGACGTCGCGAAGACCCGCATCCAGGGGCAAACGGCAGTTCCATTCAAGTATGGGGCAACAATCCCCTCGATTCTGCTCGTCGCGCGCGAGGAGGGTGTCGGGGCCCTTTACAAAGGTATGCTTCGGGTCGCGGTTGCTGAGGATATAAGTATTTGCGGAAGGCTAGGGAACCCCCCAACCTGGTCTTATCGAGACTACCTCGCTGAACTTTCTCCGCTCCCCCTACGTCACAACGATAGGCTTCCTTCCCAAGGTGCTCCGTCTCGGCCCCGGAGGAGGTATCCTCCTCGTCGTCTACGAAGTAGTCACGACTTACATGCGAAAGTGAGCTTCTGTGTTCGCATCTCCCTTACGCGTTCTACCCGGTTCCCGCTAACACCACCCTTCCCCTTCCTAGAAACTTCATGTGAGCGAACGAACGCTGCCAAGCCATCTCTCATTCTTTCGATTTGCCCACCTTGTTTTTGGAAATACAAATTTGTTATCCGACCTGGAGAGCTGCCGCCTCTCCCGCGCCGCTATTTTTTTTCTACCCACCTTCTTTGCTCCTTGGGTCGTGTGTGTTGCAATATGAAATGGCTTGAGTGGCTACAACATTTGCCTCCCTGGCTCGGAGCTGTGCATCTATTGCGGCGGTGAACGGATGCCAGGTGCTGCATGATCGGACGTCGTCGCGGCCCCCCGCTCGACCCAGCCAATCGGCCTTTCACTTGCGTCCCCAGCACGACCACACTACCTCAACTTCCCGTCCAACATTGGCCTTTTGACTGCCTGCCTTCTGTTCGCTTTTCTCCACGGCATGGAAGCTGAAGGACCTGAGGGAGTGGACTACGCATGAGGGCGTCGCGGTTTCTCGATTCGCTTCAGCGGTAATTAGATGTTTGTAATGCTTGGTAATGCAAAAAAACGTGGTCAATAATATTTTAATATTTTCGTGGTGTGTATCCGCATTAGTCCAGTGGTTAGGATACCTCGCTCTCAAGGTCTGGGTTCCGAGGTGGCCGGGGTTCGATTCCCCGATGCGGAAGTGCGGATGTACTGTGTATGTTCGAATTTTGACCCTCCTCGGAGAGCGTATTATTTATGGCCACTTCTACCTCCGCTTCCAGACCATTTCTCCGGGGCCACGAGCGGGATCAGAGGTGGACATCTCTGAAAGCAAGAGTCACTATGGAGGACTGCAGAAGCTGGTGTGGGTTGAGACGCCACATAACGGAAGGTCACGGCGCTGGCGGCCAATCTGTCTGACCTCTTTTCCAAGTACCTGTGTTCACACAAGCGTCGCTCCACTCCTCCAGAATGCTCTCAGAGGTTGCCGAGCGACTGGATTGTCACGCGCGCTGACTTTTTTTTCTTTTTTTTGGGTGGGGGGGTGGGGGGATGGGTTGATCTTAGTTTCCGTTATCCCCTGGTCGCGGGGAAGAAGCCCCCCCCCCCCCCCCCCCCCCCCCCCCCCCCCCCCCCCCCAGAACGCGGAAAGCCTGTTTGTCCTCCGGTTTCCTGATCCAAATCATGCACGCCGTTGATTGAAGGAGTCTCAACTGCGTTGGCTGGCTGTCCAGCTAAGGACTTGAAGCTCATCATCGTTTGAAGGCGAGAACACATCATCTGCAACATTCTCATGAGAGAATCCGCGACCCGAGCGGGGAGGTGAATCCCACACTGGTGTCAGCGCGCTTTGGTTCTGAGATGGACGACCTCCCAAAGCACTCTCCGTCACCAAACACGCTGTGGGTTGCTGAAGGTCACCGCGATGGCGGCCAACCCGCCCCAATCCTTTTCAAGCGCACATGTTATAGTGTCGCTCCATTCCTCGAGTGTGGCCTCAGGACGATGGAGGTTGAGGAGGGGCTGCTGGACAGGCTTCTTTGTGACATGTGCCCTCACCTATTTCAGTTGGAACTTGGACCGCTGATTTTGTGGGATTGTCCCCTGTCATTCTGAATCGAAATCATGCGTGACGTTGATAGAAGGAGTATCTTTTGGCTTTTGGCTATCTTTCTTGTTGTCTGAAGGTCATAGATGTTGGAGGGCGGGGCGTCTTCCACAACGACATCAGAAGAAGCGCGCACCCATGATGGATAGGTGTGCAGGGGTCAACTCCCTGATGCGGAATTACTATCCCTCTCTCCGCGCCGTACTTTCTTTTGGCCATTTCTCCTCCCCGTCCGCGAGAGGCTAGCATTCCCTCACAAAGTGTTACTGCAGCCAAGGGGGTGTATTTTCCGTCGCCTGATGATGCCGCTTGAACGAACAAAAAAGGAGGAGGGGGAAATGTTGGACATATGATTCCAAATATCCCGCTTCGGTCTGCCTTGTTCGGCAATTCGCAGGTCAACCCAGGGGCGTATCCTTCCACCCCGAGGGATGCGAGGGAGGGTTGAGTGGTGAGCGCGTACGCGCGACTCTAATCTGAGTATCACCGCGCCCGCCCGCCCGATCGTCTGTCATCTTCGTCTGCTTCCTTTGGGAATGAGCATGCGTTTCCCCCCATACATTCCTCCAACCAAATCTCGAGGTGCGAGGTGGCCGAGGTTCGACTGGAAGAGATGGCAAATGGAACCTGTCCGCGAACCCACAGCGACTCTTTCTTTTCCTTCCTAACCGCCACCCATTCAAGCCACATCCTCGCCACACCGGCCTCAACGCGGTTCGGAGCTGGACGTCTCCTGGAGCTTGTCCGTCACGGAACAGTGGTGAGGTGCTGCTGTGGGTTCGCGGATGGTGTATTCAGTGCACCTGGAGGTCATGGCGATGACCTACCAATCCGTGAGCCCCCCTCCACGGCCACACTATCGCCTCAGGCGATGGAGGTTGAGGGGCAGTTCGCAGGACGAACATTGTTGGTGGATGGGAGAGTGGGACCT